GTTCTATGTTTGTGTAGGGCTTTGGAGCCAAACAGGTTTTAGAAGCAAATTACTATCCTTTTAAAAAGAGTAAAATTTCTGCTTCTGCAGAGAAAAAGAAATCATCAACACAACCAAGGGGCAACCAACTAAATGGGAGACAATATTTGCAAACAACACCTCAGAAAAGGGGCTATCGATAATATCCAAAATATATGAAGAATTCATACAACTCAATAACAACAAAAACAAAAACAAACAATCCAATTTAAAAAAAATGGGCAGAGAATCTAAACAGACACTTCTCTCAAGAAGTCATACAAATGTCCAACAGATACATGCAAATATTCTCAACTTTATTAGCAATTAGGGCAATGCAAATGTGAACCAGAATGAGATACTACCTCACATATGTTAGAATGGCTATTATCAACAAGACAATAATAACAAATGTTGGAGAGGCTGTGGAGAAAAAAAACAACCCTCACACACTGTTGGTGGGAATGTAACCTGGTACAGCCATTATGAAAGGCAGTGTGGAGGTTCCTCAAAAAATTAAGAAAGGAATTCCTATATGACCCAGCAATCCCTCTCCTGGGTATCTACCTAAAAAAAATCTGAAAACATTTATACATAAACATATATGTACCCCGTGTTCACTGCAGCATTATTCATGGTGGCCAACACATGGAAACAAACAAAGTGTTTTTTGATAGGTGATCAGATAAAGAAGATGTGGTACTGATATACAATGGAACATTATTCGGCCATAAGAAAAGGTGAAATACTGCCATTTTGTGTAGAGAGCCCCTGGAAGCTGTTAGAATGAGTTTTGTGTGAGCAAGAGTAACTTCATTTTGGACATGAACAGAGGACATGGCAGGTGACACCCTGAAGGAAGTTCTTGTGACACACGTTGATGTTTCAAAATATCAACCACTTGAGATAATAAGGGGACATGTCCCAGTTTGAAGCCTTTAAAAACTCAGGACTTTTGGAGCTCAGGGAGTCGGTTAGCTGCCACTCTGCACCAACAATCATGGCTCTGTCTTGGACCAAACCTCTGCCGAACTGACCTCTCAGACCAGCCACCCTCTTCCTCACTCCGTCAGGACCTTCAATTGACTCTGGAACTGGTCCAATAACCCTCCTTATTGTAGTGATTATATTCTTAATGTCATTGCTGTGCTTGAGTGTTGGTTATTGCTGTGTGTATTGAATAGTTGTAACCTATATTAATGTGTGATTAAAGAGCATATTGAAAGGCACCTGAATCTGTGTAATTCTGTTAGTTCTCTCTCAGGCCATAGACTACTGCAGAGACCTTGGTCAGTGTTGGGTAGCCCCAGGGAGTCCAAGAGCCTCTCATGGATGGAAGTCCCATTGACTTGCAGGAAGTGATGGCAGCAGGATTGTGAGCCTAGCAGTCCCTTGTGACAGATTTGCAACAACATGAGTGGGTCCTGAGATGAACATGCTAAGAGAAGTAAGTCAGACAGAAGAAGTCGAGAACCATATGACTTCACTCGTATGTGGGATAAAAAACCAAAAACAACAAACGAACAAGACAAACAAACACAAGCTCATAGATGCAGATAACAGTTTAGTGGTTACCAGAGGGTAAGGGGGAAGGTGGGGTGGTAGAAGAGGGAAAAGGGGGTCAAATATATGGTGAAAGATTATAGCAATGTACATTTGAAACCTATATAATTTTACTAACCAGCGTCACTCCAATAAATATAATAAATATTATATTAAAAAAAGAAGAAAAAGTTAGTGTTCTGAAGTCCCTGTGTAAGATTAAGTCTTGTGTCTCTCACCTAATTAATGTGTGATCTTTGACAAGTTAGTTAAGCTTTCTTAATAATATAGCCTTGCTATTTTATTTCTAAAATTGAGGAAATACTACACAGTCATTATAAGAGTTAAATGGCAATATACATGCAAATCACTTTGCATCGTGCATGACACATAGTACCTTATTAGTCAATATCATTGTCACCATGGTCATATCAAATTTGCAGGAAGTTCTGATATCCCAGGAACCATTTATTTTGCAAGAATAAAATAGCAAACTATTTATACTGGCATGACACAAAAACATGTATTATTCAATTTTTTCAGAGAAAAAAATGAATGTAAATTGGTGTTTAATAATGTTGTTACATATGTATATACACACACACAAAGCCAAAAAATAGATTAATACATTTTAAGAAATCAGGCTGTGCATTTTCAGTATTGATAATTGTAGCTCATAAAGTTCATCTGAAGGCTGATTTTTGTTTTCTTCAGTGTAACTGCTTAACAGGCAAGAACAAATATAACTAGCTGTGGAGAATTCTCTTTAAGTTATATATGGAAAATATGTGATCGTAGCTTTTACATTCAAAAGGCTATTATTTCAGTTTGTAATTTTATGCCATGTACGCAGTTTAATTGCTCCCCCTGAGAAATATTCCTGCAAAAGAGCATTGCCTTCTAAAAAGATGGCTTTTCTGTTTATAAGTGGATTCTGTCTTTTCCTCTGAAGGATGTAATTCAAAATGACAGTACAGTGAAAAGGGCTTGACACAAAGGCGTGCAACATTTCAAGGGAATTAATTTTTTATTCATGCAAAATGTAAAAGCCCCCTTTTTACTCATGATTCAAAAATATCTCTCACCTATTATAGTTCAGGCTGTAGTTCAAATATACATGCATCATAAGCAGAAAATAATTGATCACAGTGATGTACTTGGTATATTTCTTCTGCCCTCTCATTTCTTTGTTTATGGTGACAATTTAACATATGCCATGTGACTCTTTTGTAGATTATGTTCTAAAAGCATGGTTGTAGAGTGGCAGGTAAAGGAAAAGAATAGCTTAATTTTCATATAATTTAAAACTAGAAGGAATTCAAACTTCAGATTAAAAAAAGAACTCATCACATCTCTCTAAGCAAGATTTTTAATCTTTCTAAGCCTCAGTTTTCTTTTTTTTAATTAAAGTTTATTGGGGTGACAATTGTTAGTAAAGTTACAAAGGGTGGTGGACACACAATGTGATATATAGATGATGTATTACAGAATTGTACACCTGAGCTGAAGTTTTCTTGACAGTAAAATGTGGAACATATGTATTTCAGAGCTATAAAAATAAATAAGATAATGATGAAGTTCCTGACACAGCATGTAAATAAATGTTCTATAAGTTCCAGTGCCTATATTCCCCACGTCTTTCCTGACAGGCCTCATCAGGTTGCCTTTAGAGTTACAGATTCAACATGAATAAATTCCAAAAAAGCTGGCTGCTTTCTCCAGGTTCTCTTTGCACAAGAAAAGATCTGGAAGTGAACATCCTTTTTCATTGGACCTGAGCCCACCATCTTGGTTTCCTAAGCATACACTAGCTTCTCTCCCATTGAGACATTTTCATTTCCCTGCACTTCAGACTATTAATCTGGGTCACTACACATGCATTTACAAACCATCCTTCGTCCCTACCCACAAGAGTTATGTACTTCCTCTGGCTGAGTTTTATATTCCTCATCTGAAAAAAACCTCATCATTCTTGTGAATAAGAATATTGACACTGTCTAGGAATACCTCTGCTATTTCCTATACTCTGGACTAAATATATTTTATATGCACAAAGCCCAAAACAGGACCCAAGTTCCCAATGTCATATTTCATTACAAAAGCAGAATTATCTCCCAAATCTTCTTCTTCAATTAGCTATTCCAGCTTGTCACACATAAACAGCCAGAAGAAAAAAACAAAACAGTGCTTTCGGGGTTGGGGAAATATTTGTTAATGTCATATGCTAGATAATCAAATGTATTATTTCTTTTTCATGTTTCATTTTCATTTATTTTTTTTTCCATTCTTGTTAATAGCAAAGTAAGGGAAAGTGTCACTCTAAGACCCTGTGTTATTGATAATAACAGGTTATATACCAGCCATTTGTCACATATATCCCATTTGCTAAAGTATGATAGTTTCTAAATGCCACTCAACATTTATGGTCATTAGGCTTTATAATCACTAAGAAACTGTATTTCCATAAAATATATATAAGTTGATAAATTTAAGAAAATGACAAAGTAGTAAAATATGGAAAAACATACAGCTAAAAGGATAAAAATGTCCATTTAATTAAATATTCTCAATGTAATATAACTTTATTAAATGAACTCAAGCTCCTTTTCTGGAGTTGGAAGAGGAAAATCGTTTCATTTTGTTTTTTTTAAACTATTCATGCAAATGAGTATGTAGTGATTTACTCAACTTCCGCGTTTAACCGGTGATAGAGACATTCAGTTACTTCATCCTAAATCCTAGGAACACTGAATTAATCCTTGAAAGTGTATGAGAAATCGAACCAGTACTGATTGGTGTTAACTGTAATACTGCAAAAGAAAACTGGATGTAACACAAGTGAGAAGCTTATATCTCCAACATGAAACTGAGTTACAGAGAAGACACAGGTGTGAATCATTCTGTTATCATAGAAACTGGCAGTTTTCACTGATTACAAAACTAAAGTAAAATAAAACTGAAGTAATGTAAATACTATCACAGTAATATCATCTTTTACACAGAAGTATATGAAAATGACTCAACACATGTAACTGCTAAAAATGAGGCAGATAATTAGCATGATAATTAAATGATATATAGTGGCATATATGTCATAAATGTGTCTTAGATTACATTGGAATTTTCATATGCATATTACTTTTTTAATTAATAAGAAATTAGAGCAAGACCCAATGTATTGTGAATATTTTACCTCAATAGGGATCGACTGCTTAAGACTCATTGTTCAATCTTTGATTCATTTATATCATTTTCTATTAATATCACATTGTGCATGATTCCAATAGAAAACTAAAATTCTGAAATCATTTAATTGTTATTCATTACCTTCCACTCTCAAAGGTATCTGGAAAATTATTTCAATTCCTATAGCATTCAACGAAATGTAAGAACATTTTTACAAAGCTGCGCTAATTTTGACTTAACCGAAAAGCACGTACTTTTGGGGAATCGAGGAGGATTGTCATTGACATCTGTGAGGGTGATGTTGACTATTGTGGTTCCAGCCAAGCCTCCCAGTTGTCCTCCCATATCTTTGGCTTGGATGAGGACTTGGTATTGTTCTTTGACTTCCCTGTCCATGTTTGGCAATGCTGTTCTAATAACACCTTGAAGGAAAAACAAACAAACAAAAAAATAACAAAAGGTAAATATTGCAAATGTTGCATTTCCAAAAAATAAAATAGTCTGCACCAAGAAAATGATTCTGTCCAGATTCACCTGCAAAGATGCTAACAAAAATCATGTGTCTTTTAAAAAATAAAACACCCAAAATATCCAATGGTTAGGATAAAATTAAACATATTATGGTAACAGCCATATAATGAAAAGTGGTGCAGCACTGTGGAATATGATTAAATAGCAATGTATCAGCTCTAAAAGATTGTCATCATTCATTAAGTCAACCAGGTCAGACATAATATTTACAGAATAATCCTATCTTTAAAAGGCAATAAAATTGTTAAACAATATAGAGAAAAAATACATCTACTGAAAAAATTAACAGGTTATATACCATGACAGATTTCTAAAGACTGCCATTGTATTTTTCATTCCTAAATTTGTAGGATACTATATCACTTTACTTTTTTGAACCCATGAAATATCTCCTTCCCATATTTTATTTTGTCTTTCAGGATTTCTCTTTTTTTAGCCACAGGTTTATTTACTTAGATTTCATTAAACTTTGCCATGTAGGGACCTTGTTGTTTTTGTCAACCAGTCATTCCACCATCTAGGGCAGTGTCTGCCATTCACAAGGGATTTAATCAGAACGTGTTGACCAAATGACTAGTTGAATGACTGGCTGAATAAATGAATGAATCTATAAATAATTAAATTGACAATCATGAATCATTTAGTATATGTGTGTATTTATATATCCTACTCATTGTATGACCTTGTGTCCAAGTGCAGAACTAATTTATATTTATATTTATTCATAGTGAAATAACTAAAGCCTTCTGGATTGTTTGCAAGTAAAATTCTATATCAATTTTATAACAAATTCCAACCTATGGGCAATGGTTTTAGGGAGATTGTATAGCATTTGTCTTAAACCCATGTGTCTTTGATAGTGTGTTATCTTAAATAAAGTAGCATGTATGAATAACAAAGATACTATAAATGGTCAAACACAAAGTATAACATCCAAATAGTAAAAGGGATATAAATCCGTTTTATCTGTTCTTTCCACCATTGACTTCCCAAATGATGTTCTGCTGCTAACTCAGATTTAACTACAATTTAAGTTTTATTTTAACCCTTGGTGGGGCATGGTTGCAAAACAAAGGAACTTGTCTCTATTTGCTACTCCTGCTTTATTCATGCATTGATACCCTTTTATGTCAATCTGTTTTCCTCTCTTCCATTGGGACTCCTAATGTTTCATAGGTAATCTCCTAAGATTTTTCATCTCTGCATCTCAGCCTCCTTGTCCTATATGCCTTAAGCTATGGACTTCTGCCTGCCTTATAATGTTTTTATTTCCTAGATAAATGTCTGGGTTTGATTCATATGTACCCTGCATTATGCTGCTGTTATACACATCATTTCCAATATGAATATATATATATATATATATGTATATGTGTATATATATATGTTTATATATATATACACAATTTTTACTTGATATGTTTCTCACATAAACATTTCCAATGTGAAAATTTATAAATATGTTATATATAAACTTTATACACACACATTAAGGTACTATGATAAGGAGCAAATCAGCATTATCGGATTTATTTAAGACTAGAGGTTTTTTTTATGATTGATTATAAAAAAACTCAGGATGTAATTGTGAGTAAGATGGAGTTGTTCATATAAACCTATATGTATTATACCTGGTGTATCATGGAAAAAACAAAACAAGACAAACAAAAAACAAAAACAAAAACAAAAAAAACAAAAAAAACAAAACTTGATTAAAGATTATTTTTGCACCTGAAAATGATTTTTCTTAGTAGAACACACAGTCAAGTTTTGGCCACATCATCATTAACCTTTTTACATAAGGATTTGGAGGACGCATTCTTAAATATATATTTAATCCACAAGTCTGTGAGGAATAGCTAAGAGAAAGTAGGATAGCATAACTAATGATAGTTAAAGACAGAACCTTAACATTAGCAGTGATAATGTAAGTTCATTTTTTCAATTCCATAGTTAAATTGTTTGTAAAAAGTTATGAGAGACCTGCTTTGCAACAGTTTACATGAAAAGTTACTGAGTTTCATTTCATTACAGTCTTAAATTGGCCTTAAATGTGAAATGGATTTTTAAAAAGCTAATGCATTTTTAAACAATATTGACAAAATGTTCTATCGCTCACTACACAGATGAGGTATATGATATTTAAAAATAAGACAAACAAACAAACAAACATGTTGCCAACAATGTATTTGGGGGACAAGAAAAATTATCAGGTTATCTTTAGTAGAAAGAAAATTTAGAAACCATATGGTCCAACTTTCCACCTACTGCACTATTACCATAATTATTCTTTAGAATTTGCAAGTCATTTTCCTAGGAGTTCCTTCCCCAGGAGGTCCCCCTCACCCATCATTCTATATCTAGTGCCCAGGAGTAGCACTATGTGTCACAGAATTGTATCCCCCAACAATCAAAAGTAAAATACAATGTAATCTTCTGAGGACTAGATGACCTCTCAACAGTAGATGGTGCATGATTCAGGATCTACTTGATTTATCTCAGTATCCTAGTAACAAAGCACTCTCAGGCCATTGGTTCTAATTAAACATGCATCAAATGAATTAATAATCAAATCCAGCACCACTGGTTCATCACTCATCATCTGCTTTAGCATTTCCAGTAATTTAAAGCTCATAATCTCATGAGGCACGTCTCTTATTTATGGACAAATATATATATGAATATTCTTTCTACATGGAACTCAGCAGCTATTGATAGCCCTTTACTTCTCAAGCAGCACAGAATTCCACTAGTTCTAACACATGACAGCTCTACAGCTTCCTAAAGGCATGTATCTATCACGTTCCCTTGGAGTTATTTTCCTCTCAAGGCCAAACATTTTTAGTTCTATCTGCTGATGGGTGCATTCCATTTTAAAATAAGACAATCAGGTTTATGCAGAGTTCTCATGAAGTGTGGCAATGCAGAACACAAGGAAACCGCTCTCTGTGGTACATTTTTAGTCCTGTATTTTACTACCCATAAAAAAACTATGACTGAAAAGGTAACAACATGTGTTATTTTATCTTAATAATTGTCTATTTCCCTGACACGTTTTTCCTTCGAAGCATGAATATCTATGCTTTCCTTGCTCTTGCTACATTGATACCAGTTCTCGTCTTAATGCAAAAACTATTAAGAGTGACTACTTTGTGTAGACAAATGCTCTTCTCCCTTTTGCCCTTGAAAAAAGAAGAGAATCTCTCCCTCTGTCACCAGCATCAACTGAGGTGTCTGAATCCTTTAAGATTTTACTCTGAATTAATATCAAAAGCACTTTCAAGCCATAAAACACTTTTAAGTATTTATATAGTGCTATACAGTATAGCTCAAAATATAAAGTCTGATCAATGCTTTCATTTTAACATGGGACTGTAAAACGCCAACATATTACTTTTAAAGTCCTAAAGGAATAAATAGCAGTATGGATACGGGGAGCGGTTTCATTTAGGAATAGACCTGAAGATACAATCTCTGAATAAAAGGTGATACTCAAATTCAAAGAGCAAAAATCATTAGAAAGTGTCAATCCTCTCAGTGACCTTTATCAGAGTTCCCTAAACAAAACAAGGGCAGGATCTCAGAACATAAAATATCAGAATTGTGAATAAAAGGGGGTGGGGAGGAGTAGCTCATGCACGCAACTCCATTCTCACTTAGCCATTTTCATATGAATTCTATAAATTCATGTGTAAATACGTAAAATAAAAACATAAAATGCACATTGTTTTTGACCATGACCATAAATGTAAAGATAGTGATGAAAAAGTTCTGGTGATGGATGGTGATAAGGGCTGCACAACAATGTGAATGTACTTTATGCCACTGAACTGTGCTCTTAAAATGGCTAAAATGGTAAATTTCATATTATGTATGTATTTCCCAACAATAAAAACATTTAAGGTTTATTGGTTTAAAATACAATGTTGTAACAAATAACCTCACAATGCTTTTTCAAGTAGGGCTCATGTGACTTACAAAAATACAACATGTCATCACCACATGATACTCAAAATAGCAATACCTAGCTACCCAATTCAGACTGTTTTTGAAAAAATTTAGGGAAAAATTTAAATAATTTTAAATCTAAGTTAAGACCTAGGGTAATTCATTCAGAGTAATGTTTCTTTTCTTAAATAAAATAATTTATTATTAATTCTAGGAGATATTTAGCATCCTGATTTCATGCCTTGGGTCAAATATGAAAATGTCTGTTGTTTAATATTTTATAGACTATGAATGTTTTTTCTAAATATAATAAATTTAAGTGTAAAATGTATATAATATAGCAACATATTAATATAACAGATATTTAATATTTTATAAACATTAATTATAAGTACAAATGGTATTTAATGTTTTATAGAACTTATCTGTGTGGGTTTTAAAATATTTAACAATCATTTGAGGCATATATATGAATGTGTTTGAATTTTAACTCACAGTTAGTTACGCCATACTTAAGGCAAATGATTGCCAAATTACCTAATTTTAAAGAAAACAATTAAAACTATTAGTTTTGGGCTTATTTCACAGTTGCTTCAATTTATATTGCTTATATATAAGCTTGCCATATTCACTTAGATTGTGATGCTAGGATTATTTGTCAAACAGCAGTATCAATAACCAAATCCTTTTTGTTTTCTCATTTCAATGAACAATAAATGGTTATATTTATCTCTTCATTACTATTTAGGCACCAGAAGTTTTGATGAGACTCTCTTTAAACATTTTTTAAACTGTATTCTACACTCAACTGTCAGCCATTTTAGATAATATTAGTTTTTTTCATGCATTTTATTTAATAACAGCAGAAGGAATCATAAAAGGAAGCTATATGGCTGGAACAAATGGAGACTGTTTCTGAGAAATCGCAATTATCCTTTATTTTTTATTTACTCTTATCTACCACAAGGTGATAAATTTGACAAAACGTCTTCTTAATGGTTTCTGTGCATGAAGAACTAGTTATCATTCAATTAATGAAGAGTCCCATCATCCACTCTTTTCCTGTCGAGTGGTCTGAGGTATTGCTAGTACCAAGACTTCTGTCTCCAGTGAAAATCAATGCTTCAAAAAAGCTGTTCTATAGTTTATGCCAGAATTGTTTCATCTTTAGTTCTAACTAATAAGCATTATATAAAACTATAAATGGGCAATTACAAAAGCCATATTATAATGCACATATACTCTCTGTAAAATAATACTTTTTAAAGGCATTAGATTCAACTATAGTTGATACTAAACATGTAGTGTCAAGAGGCAAGCAAATGTTTTCATTCATATAATTGTCTGTCTAGTGTTAATTTGACTATAGCAGTTATATGCTTCACTCATACTTTCTGCTGAAGTTCATTTTTGTATGATTTTATCTTGTTGTTTCTTTACTTAGATATTGGCTTCATTTATAGTTTTTTCACCAATATTAAGTCCTTCATCTTTCTGCTCCCACATTTAATCTCATTATGTAAAACCACTTACTTGATAGAGTTAATTACTGCAACCCAATAAGTGCACTCTAATACTGAAACTATCTCTACACACCTCCTTTCTCTTTCTTCCATCTCTCTGTCTCAGAAGTACTTCTTAGAGGCTAAAGGGGTATAAGAGACATACATTGTTCATATTTCTTCTCCTGTTAGATTACACATTATGGTACATTTGAATAAGATAAGCAATTATATAATAAAATATAACCCATAATGCTTCCATCTGATAAAAGGATGTGTAATATTTTAGATAACATCCCTTCCTTATTTGTCTATACATTTGGCCTACTGTCTGAGCTTTCTTAATTCCCCTGAAAGTTGGTACCAGCATAAACTTCGTTGAACAACTTCTTCAAATTCTTTCCTCAACGTTTATTCCTTTTTTTCTCAAATAAGTATATATGATTTCTCCACAGGTCAACAAAACCCACAAACTTCCTCAACACCAATGTTGCCAAACATTGTCTCATCTTCAGTGCCATGCTCCTTGAAAATCACTCATATCATAAGTGTGATTGCTCCCATCACACGTTCACGCTCAACATTGCACTCTGACTTTTGGTCTCTGATTTTCTTTCCAAACCAAAAGGGCTTCTTTGTTATAAAACTTTGTGGATTCTCGTCAGCACGGATGTTCCCATCTTTAAGGCCTGGTGCTGTCCTTCTGACAATCTATTTCTTTTTTTTCAGACTTGCAAAAGGCAGTGACCCCCTGACTTATTCCTTTAGCTTTTTGTTGACTTGTGTCCCCCATCAGCTTGATGAGGAGGGTAAGACGTGAGGGCAGAATAAGTTCAGCTGACAGAAACTCTGCCTTGCATCACTTCTCTATTTCCACTTAATTGACTTTATGTTTCTAGGCAACATTAATACATGGTCAATTGATTAACCTACATCTAATTGGTATTCCAGATTTTAGCACGCACTTTGAGGGAGTTTAAATTTTGAAATGTTTAGTCCATTTGCATGTATATTGTCCAGAATTAATACCTTTCAAATCCATGTAGCTGTTTAAAGATTTATTTACAAGTCTAAAGTAAAATGTATCTTATTAGTTCAGTACATTCACAATTTATTTTACTATTTTAAGTTAATGTAATAAAGAGTATTGCATTCAATATGCAATATAGTATAATGTACTATATAGGAGTTGATAAAATAACTGTCATTAAGGAGTTTCTGCTTTAACTGTGACATGGGACACTTACTTTGATTACTGTTCAGCATGACTGGATCTCTTTAAAAACTATCCAGCACTCAAAAACAGATTCTGTTGAAACAAGGGAACCTTATTTAATTTAAAAGGGAATAAAAAATCTTCCTGCCCTTTCTATACTTCCCATAGATTTTTATATATTGAGCGTTGAAAACTGCAATTTAAATGGCTTGACTTAAAAATGAGGCTGGTATCAAAAACATAGACAAGAAAAAATGACTGAGCTTGGTGTTTCAAGTTTCAAGGGTAAGTCTATGCTAATCTAAATCCGTCATCATTCATCACCCCTAATAAACATAACAATAGAAGCTCCAGGATCTTACCACATGTTGATAAGGTCCAAAACTGAAACCTGAACTAACAAGCTAGTTTGGCCAGAAGAATTATATATATATGACACACACACACACATACACACACATGCACACACACACACACACACACTCCTGGTCTTTAAAAAATTTCAAGGAAATCACACAGAGAATTCTAACTAACAAATTTGGACTTCACACATATATGTTGAGTGGTTTACAATTACACAACGTTCAATCCTAAGGAAAGAGTTTTGAAGCAGCAAGGTGAAAGCCTGTCTGCCTTTGCTTAATGTGCAGCACACAAAACCTTTATTGCAGTATTAACATAGGCAAGTTCCCATGCCAAGGTTTAATTAAAGCTTAACTATTTGAAGGGGTGGTGATACTGTTACCTCTAATAAAAATTTTACCTGTCTTGGGATCGATAGAGAAATAAGGTTGTCCCTGAAGGATGCTGTAAACGACCCGAGCACTGTTTCCGTAGGTCGGGTCATCTGCGTCTGTAGCCTTGACCTGGAGTACATACGCACCTGGAAAATAAGACAGTATGATTGTAGCATCTTTATTTTTAAAAGCTCAAGGCTGTGCATTGCATATTTTTGACTCCATTTTCCTTTAGGATTTGGTATTACTTAATGGGGAGTACATGATGTCACTGAGAATAATTTAACCATTATAACCAAAATGTTGGGTAATGCGATAGCTGGTAATATAAATAATACATACTTTAAATCTATTGTAAAAGCTGTGTCCATTTCCAGTAGCTAGATCATTGAACTGAAAGTCATCACGATGATTTTATCGATTTGTACACCAAAGAAAACATGACACTGCTTACATTAGCTCATGTGCTTACTGTCGATGCTTTAATTTCATGATTAGGATATCAATAGAGAAGCTAAAAGGTTTAAAAGCTTATTGAACTTTAGAGGGTGTAAGTAATTTGTAATTGCAACTTAAAATTCAACAATTACATACTAGCATTAGTAAGCCTTTAATTAGGACAGGATATTTGAGAAATTGAGGGACCGAAAATAATTGCAATTACAGCTACAGAAGCATCTGCGTGCCTCAAAGTGGGATTAACCTAAGGGTTCACTGACGTGGGAAAACTTGAAACACAATAAAAACTACCTGTACCTTTTATCACTTTTTGACACTTGGTCATATTACCTATGTACTAGAAAAGTTGAAGGGATTTTTGTGTATATTTTTATCTTACATATTCACAGTTCTAGTTAAGTCTTTCTCTAAGAATTTTTTTGAGTATTTCTTTTTAATGTCCTCTTCAATGCAACTATTGTGAGTTGAGAACAAAGTAAAATCAAAATTATCAAACTTCATATAAATAAAATAAGTATGTTGCTGATGAAGGAAGGAAATCTATACTGAACCTAAGGCAGTAATATGTACACCCAAAGTTATACAATGGAAAGAACATTTCATCTCTTGGGGGAATTCAAAGGAACTGCCCTGTTTGGGGAATGCGGGGTTGCTCCTTCCCACTCAGCTACTCATTCAGGCTTTTTCCTTAAATCAGTACAAAATGGGGATGAAATGAATCTTGAAGATTTACTCTGAAACCTAAGAGTATTCACTTCATCACTACTTGTTTTTTAATTATTATTAAAGTGTCGGGGTGGTGGTAAAGTAAGAAATGATAACTTTTGGTAGACATACAATGCCAAATACTTTATGTTAAGATGCTTTGTCTTATCTCAAGATGCTTTGGTAAATCCTAGCTGCATCAACAGGTGAAAAATATGCTTTATTAGAATAGCTTTTCCCGACAAAGGAAACTTCTACAAGGAAAGTAGGCAAACATTTCTAAGATGTCAAGAGTGATGACTGATATGATCCACCATCATTTGTCTATCTATCTATCTATCTATCTATCTATCTATCTATCTATCTATCTATCATCATCTGCACTATCATTAATAATAATTTGACAAATAGGCATCAAGGACCTGTATTAAAGCTTCACCAAAACTATGTCCTCCTTAATGCTATAGGAATGAACAGTTATGTGAGTAAATACCTCTCTTCCCTCCTTTTTTCCAAGAAGTGATTTTTCCTCAAGGAAAAAATAACTCTCATGGATCTTGATTATCACTATCACATGTGTTGTATAGACAAAGACTGCAAATATTAAATGATGCCTAAGTCTAGAAATAAATATTGCAGTTGAACAGCTGTGGATTGTTTTACTCTGAGGATGCATTTGAAGAAAAAAGTTATTATATCTTCTAGAAATTATATAGTCACAAATTTAATAAACTTTTACCTAACCATCACCATATGTTCAATGGGGAATAAAAAGATAAATGAGATAGTATCTTCCCTTTTACATTTTTAAATTTAATATCAATATGAACCTTCACCAAATATTCAAAAATATTTTTCCAAAAGTAGTATTAAATTCTTTGTTATTCATTTTTATGTTTAGAGTTTCAAATATTAAATAAGTGAATTAAGTCACATTTTCATAAGTCATAGAAGCAAAAAAAATGCATCATTCAATTCCACTTCAGGCAACTGAGAAGGCAAGAATAATGGCACTTGTAGTATATGTCTCCAGTTTCATCTATAGTACCACACTGGTTATCTACTCAGGTACAGCAGCGATTAACTGGATTAGGAAATAGCAGATCCCAATGTAAGTTACTCAAGAGTGCTTAGAGATGTTTACAAGAACCCAATTAAATACCATTATATAAGCTTGTTTTTCTGGCTGTTCTATGACTTTCACCAAACTAATGCAAAAGACAGATACTGTAGACCCTTCATTAAGAAAACTCAACCAATTGCCCAAAGCACGAAAATCTCCAAAGACTACCTTCCTCAGTGTTTGCATAGCACACCAGTTCCTGACGCTATTAAACACTAAATGCCCAAAAGGTAGGGACAAGAGGTTGTGGCTTAATGTGCAACGAAGGAATAATGTAGTCAGTGACTTTACTAAAAAACTGGACTCATCGTGTATGTAGCAGTCACCCTGGAATTTATTCTCCTGTCACTCAAATCCAGGATGACGATGTAACCACTCCAAATGTTGAAGTTCAGAAAGAACATACCTCACAGAGAAAACATGCTTTTACAAGTAGCTGGGAATGGAGTGCAGAATGTGTGATGGAGAGAACTGAACCGCTTGAATATTCCATATAACTCTCCTCTGATCAGGAGTACATAAATCAATTAGTGTAATGTTAAGTAACAGTTAAAGCCAATGCTAAAAGAGTTATTACATAGTAATAGTTAAATGTTAAGCAATCACTTAAAAGAGAATATTGATGATACATGTACATATGAGTATGTATATATACATATATGTGTCTATACCTCTATGTAATGTTTAAATAAATGTATTTGAAAATTAACTCCATATAGTAAATTCATTCATAATATGATGCAATCTAAATTGTTTGCCAACATTCATATCATCCTAAAATTCTGAATAAAAAACTTGTTAACGAGGAACACATTACCTACACAAATTAAATTATTCAACATACTTTTATCCAATTTATTTTGAAAACACAAATAAAAGGCATGGTGTTTGATTTAGTAATTCCAATTTGGAAATTCATATGTATATATCTTATATGGTCAGGAAATGCACATACAGAAACACACGAGTGGTTTAACAGTTTCTAATGACTTCTCACAAAGTTATGAGCATGTATTCTCCCATTCAATCAGTTACTTTTTCAACAAAACGTCACAGATTTTCTATAGCATGCCAAGCCCATTGTTTGGGGTGCTAGGCATAAGCAAAAACAAAATTGAGAGACCCTAATCCTCAAGAATAACATTCTTTCTAGAGGGTAATGGTAAGAGGGACAAATTTTTAAATAAAAAAAATACAGACTAAATATAGATATAGATATAGATATAGTTATAGATGGATATAGGTATCTATATAAGTACAGGCATAGATGATATAGATACAAATATAGATAGATATAGATATATGATATCCCATTGTAATAAGTGCTAAGAACTAAAATATGGCAGTGTAAGAAAATAGAATGATAAGGTGAGGGGCTTTTTAAAATCGTGATCAGGGAAAGCAACTTTGGAGAAATCTCATTTCTGTGGAAATGTGAATGAAGTGAATTTTTTTAAATTTAAATTTATTGGGGTGACAATGGTTAGTAAAATTATGTAAGTTTCAAATGTACAATTCTATAATACATCATCTATATATCACATTGTGTGTGCACCACCCAGAGTCAGTTCTCTTTTCATCACCATGTGTTTGATGCCTTTTAACCTCTTCTACCACCTCACTCCCCTTACGCTCTGGTAACGACTGAACTGTTGTCCGTGTTGATGAGAACACTCACTGCCATATGCGGAGGCAACTCTAGGTACAAAATATTCCTGAGTCAAGGGCATGTTGGAAGTGCTGAGAAGAACCTCAGAGAAATCAGAACCCCTCCCCATACCCCCAACTGCGGATTGAAAGGAAAAGAAAGGCGGTGGAAACGCCTTTGTTCTTAAGGCGCTGTTAGCGACATTCCAGGTTTAGCTACCCTTCCAACATATCATCTCATTATAACTACCTATCTATCCAATTACATGCCAACCTACATTTTGGATTTTATTTACATGAAAGAGAAGTAGTCACACATCCTTGAACATTACTCATTCAATAATATATCGGGCATACATGTTATAAAAGCACATAACCATTATTAAAATAATGAATATTATAAAAAATAGTAAAAGCACATAATCATTATTTTTAACCAATCTCTTTTTAATGGACACTTTGGAGAATTTTGTTACATTTTTATAGAGAATTTTATGGTTAGAGAATTTTCCTCTTTCAAACAATTCTGCAATTGGTAAATTCCTACCATTGGGATAGCTGGGTCAAAAAACATGTGAATGCAACATGTTGATGTACATTGTCAAATTGACTACCAAAAGATTGTATTGATTTACATTTCTACCAGTCTGCTATATTTTCCAGGATTCTCACCAGCCTTCATTGTTCTTGTTTGTATTCTTTTATACTAGGAGTAAACTTTAGCTTCTATTTTTATTGGTTATTTTTATCTGTGTGTATATGTGTATGTATGCAAACTGTACTCATATTCTTAACCCATTTTATTTTTGCAGTTTATATCTACCTCTCTATCACCTATCTACCCATTGAATATATATATATATATATATATATATATATATATATATATA